CAAATAAAAAATGAATAATACATTCAAAAATACATTCATGGGTATTTGACTAGGTTCGAGTTTATCAAAAAATCTCTTTTTCGTATAGTTAATAATTGAATGTATACTTTTTTTTATAATAATGTATTATTTGAAAAACTATTGATGTTTAACATGTGATATTTATACTTATACTGTTTTTACGTATAATTCGTATGTAATAAAGTATGCTTTGTGTTGCATATTCACCATTTATATTACATTATATTACATGTATAGTATTTAATATTTATATATAATCAGCAGTATTATATTACCATCGGTGGGGACCGTTTATCAATTATTATTATGTAAAATTACAATGTAAAGCATTACGATTTATGCTGTTAATAATAAAGTTCTATAAAACACGTTTATGTTGTTATTCATAGTAATAATACTTAACACTTTGCAAAATACAGTGGGTATATTTAAATAGATGAATAATAATATTAAGATAAGATATAGATAATGTTTATGCTTAATATCTGTATGAGGTGAGGCGCGTACATCGAATCATTGCTAATTAACTTTTCGTTATACTATGCTCTCAAAAAAAAAAGTATTAATTTTTTTTTGGCGGAAAACGGCCATGGTGATAATTGGCTAGCGTTATTTTGGCGGAAAACGGTTACGCACGTTTGCAACACTAAATTGGTTTTGCTGAGAGTAGTGCGTGGTTAGTTGTCACAAGGGTGAATTACAATAGTTATTTTGTACTTTCAATATTGGTAGAACTTTGCAAACCACATAACTTCATTTAATTGAAACAATTTTAATGAAAAACTATTTTGTCGTTAGCTGTCTAAATCAAATTATTATATATTTTTATATCGATTATAAATTGAAATTGACATTTCGTTTCTTATTTTCGGAGGAAAGACAGAAACTAAGATATTTTTGATACTAAATAAACAATTATTGAATAATACTATTTAATTTTATATTTATATACTAAAAAAATAACAATGTACTTTCATGTGATAATGATATGTAGAACAATTTCCGTTTGAGGATAGTTGATATAAATGAGCAAGACCGTATTGTTACAATATAACGACTTGCCTTCAAAAGAAAAAATTTAATTTTTGCTTTAAGAATGTTTGTTAATTAATTTAATCATATTTTATGATAGCCAAGAACTTTCTCTCAAAATTGAACCAATATTAATTCATAATTTAGGAAAAATTAAAAAATTAAAATTAAAACAACTAAAAACTAACACCGCACTCTCTTAATAATAACATAATGTATATATACATATTATATATAATACTTAGATTTATTAAAAAAAAAAAAAAAAAAAAATTAAAAAAACATTACCTACAACTGTAAAAAATAAAATTGTAGTTAGAATTTCACTTGAAAAAAGACAAAATATTTTAATAGGTAACTATAACAATTTATTTCTATTGTAAGTATTAGTTTTGATAAAGATTTTTTAACCTTTTGATGATCTATTTATATAGACAATAAAAAATGAATAAAAACCCTAAATACATAGTTATATTTGAAATTATTTTAAAAATATTAATATTCATTAAAATTTTTAAAAACTTTTTAACTAAGATTATAATATAATATCATAAATGACAAAGAGAACATATACAAAAAAAAAAAAAACTTAAATTACAATTAAGCGATAAATACCTAATATTAATATTCATTTGTGATTTATTTCTGTCTTAAAAAAATATACTCAAAAGCAGCATAGGTTGATCCAATAAAAATAATTATGAAAAAAACAGCTAACAAATTATTATTTTTTATCATTTTTGTTGATAAATACCGTCTTTAAATTAATAATAAGTAATAACAGAAGTAAATGAGATAAAGTAAGAATAATAAAAAATTTCGTTGAACCACGATATTTAAATAGGGTTGTTATGCAATATCAAATCAAATAATGTGAATTTTGTTTTTGTATGCAACTGAGTAAACTAATAAAAATATAGTACCTCTAGTAGTTAATGTTTTTGGGTTCGGTTATGGTACAGTATAGCAGTGTCATATTCCAAAAACTAAAATATTGTTAACAAATCTCAACAAATACGCCATCAACCCACATCGAATATTTAGTACATAGTATACAGTGTGTTACGCAATGACAGAATAAATAAGTTCTATAATAGGTCAATTCACTCTAATATCAAAACAACACATGAGGGTTCGACGTTCTCTTAAGTCTGTTTTCGTATTCTCCCGAGTTAACTAAGTAGAAAAATAAAATCTAATGTAGTTAATGTTTTTAGATTTCGGTATATTACAGTAAAGCCATGAAATCGTGATTTTTTTAAACAAAATGTATACTTAAGTTTAAATCAAATACTATATTAAATACATACTTGTTTCATTATTAAGATAAATATTTATTAAGTTTAAATGTATTTTTAACTGTTAGCCAATTTGTAAAATATTAAATGTTATTAAATTAATTCATGTCATATATTATTTAATGATTAATTACTATTATCACTATATTATTTTATTATTGTATTCATATTATATTATTATTATCTTAATTTATTGTTAACTATTCTATTTGTCACATTGATACGTTATACTTACTGCACAATTAATATCAAAGGGTATTATTAACCCGTATATAATGTATAAATAAATAAATATTTAAGAAACTGTTAAATTGTGTACAAAACTAAAAAAAATTATGCTATAAACCTTCATTGAATATTTAGTACACAATATTATAACAAAATACTAATGGTAATCGATGACTGTAAAAATGAAATATTCTACACGGTGCGAGAATATTGTTAAATAATTATTTCGAATAAAATATATGCGGCTTGAGAGTGTTGTACTGTTTAATAGTCTATTTAAATATGCGCAAAAAGTTTCGTAAAATATTTATGGAAAAGAAGAGCAAACGAATTATTATTTTAGATCCTAAAAAAAAAAAAAAAACAATCTAATTTTGTTAAAACTTTAATTATGCACAAACACAAAGGTAAAATCAATAAAACTAATATTTTTAGAATTAATAAAATTTTAACAGGCTGGTACTGAAAAATATTAAAACAGAAAAAAATAGTTTGAAAAACTATTATGAAATGTCAAATCCTCAATAATTACGTCATTATTCCACGTTGAATATCTAGCGCGTAGTATACAGCGTGTTCACGCTAAGAGGTACCATGTCATACTTCAGTTGGATTACTTTACATTGAGGTGCATTTCCCTGGCAACCCCACTTTAGAATTTCGGATTCAAACCAAGAGCATTCGTTTGTGTTACTAATGTGAAGGATTATGCTCAAGTTTCATCGTTTGTGCTATAATCCTTCAGAAGTTAAAAAAGATTTCTTGTGGAGGTGCTAGTGAAATGATCCACCCCCACCTCAGAATTTCCCAATTTAAATTATACTCTTTGTTTGTGCTAAAATTTCATTTTTTATACTGCAAACACTAATTAACTATGGTGATATTCACGAGAGAACGATACCGTTTCTTGCAAGTAGAATGTGCTCCTTCCGTCTCATCTAGCTGAAAAACCTTCTCTATCCAGTTCATTATTACCAATAATTAACGATAATTACTGATCTGATTGTTCAGTTGCCACGTATAACAAGAGCATGTTGCAGATGGAAACCGACGAGCGACGACCGCGATCCGTGTCAATTTTGTGGTAATAGGTGGGGTTTGCGCGGCGGCCACCAACTTCGGTCGGAGTACGGTACCGTTCTCTCGTGACTAGCACTAAACAAGAGATCATTAGTGAGGTCATAACGCAAACCAAATTCAAAATTTTGGAACTCCAAATGTGTCATTGTATGCTGACACACCACCATAAACAATTTTTAATCCAAATCAGTCATTAGTTATATTTATAATTATTGTTTATTAAAAAACATAACGGTTATGTAACATAGGAAAAATAATTATGTTTAACAGAATAGATTTAAATATGTAACATCGTTTTTTTAATTCAAATTTTTCTTGAAAAAATGTATATGTAAACAATATTGTTTAACATAAAATAAATTTATTAAAATGAATAACATCTTTCCGTGTGTTGCGGGGTAGACCAGTTCTTCCGGGTTGCCCCGGAGACACTCGGCCCCTTTGTATAACCGCGAGGTTATCTCTTCCGGGCAGTATCCCCGGATGACTCTGGAGTCCGGGGGTCCCGCCCGGGGCGCCGCCTCACCTCGGGCGCCATAATGAGTGACCGCCGCGGCCAGGGCCCGACGGATTATCACCTGAGTCAAACCCCTTCTACTAAGGCGGTACTCCCACAACCACCACGAGTTCTTCCTCAAATGTGCCTTTCCCGGTGCGGGCGAGCGCGAGTCCTCGGTGAGTCCACGCGGTCGTGCGCCTCGGGTCCAGCACCCTCGGAGCGTCGAGGCGTTATTAGCAAGCCGACTCGATGGGGCTCACTCCGAGTCCCGTGGTACAAGGTTTGAACCCGGCGTTCAGGCCCTCGCAACTGCCTTGTCCGCAAGCAGGTCGATCGTGGCACCGTTGTGTGTACCGCGACGACCCCTTTGTAGCGCGTACGGTTTTGCTCTTTATCGACAGATTGCCGTTTCTGCCGGTGCCTCTCCCGTATCAAGCCCCGAGCCGACTGAATACGTGCACGTGCTTCGCCCGAAGGGTGGTCTGGCCCCTCTAGTTCGAGCTCTCGGTCTAGGCAAGAATTTATTCATAGGGAGTGAGGGCACCCAATTCAGTAGTATGTATTTGTATGTTCACAGCACTTTTGGGCAGGGAGATTTTAAAAGTTTAAGCGGGAATATCCCGCTTGAGCTCATTTTCGTCTCCGTGTAACACAAAAACAGATATTTTTTTAAAACATATTCATGTTTTTCAAAAAAATTTAATTCCATGTAATACAAATCATAATAATTCTAAAAAACATTATATAGGATGCGATCTGGTTAAAATAAAAACAAAAATATATATATTTATTAATATATGTTAATTTATTTAATATTTTTTTAAAAAAATCTCAAAACATTATTACACAAGTTTTCTTACTTCTCTAGTAAAAGGTACATATTCTACAATGCGATCATGAATTAATAAACAATAAGCATTTACACCTGTAAGAGATTCTGACGCTTCGATTTTCAATTGAACATCTACTGATGAAGCCGCAGCCGAATCATTTTGTTTTGAAGTATCAATAACTATAATTAGTGCATTTGATAGAAAAGTAGAAGGACTTAATATCGGATTCCGAATACTTTTTTCATAGTACGATTCTTGAAACGATGTATACATATCATATAATAAGGTGAAATTATTTTTTGCAAAATCTAAATTTAAATTATCATATGGATAAGCAATCGAGTTTAAAAAAATTTTAACGTTTGTTAAATTACAATGATCAAATACACTACAATCTTTTGTTAATACATTTTTACGTCCCTTCTGCAATCCAATTATAATAAATCGAGGTTTTTCTAATTTTGAAGCAGTTTTCAAGTTCCATACAACTTTTTTAGTGGTTCCGAGTTCAGGGTATTCGAAAGTTTCAAAAGATCTGAACGGGATAAAAAAACTTTTTTCTTTTTCTATAAGTTTTAATAATTTCAATCTTTCTTCATCATCAACAGTGATATGTGGTACCTTCCAAACTATTTTATTCAAATCGACTTTTCTAGAATTAACACTCCCATCTTGTTCAGCTTTTGTTAAAACATTCAAATCACTATGACTTCGAGTTAATATTAGTTCTAATCTAGAATTAACTAATATTTTTTTAAAGTCTTCGAACAAACCTAACCAATATTTCAGTGGAATGCAAGCACTAAATTCACCATTTGCATTTGCGGGGTTTGTATTATTTTTAAAAATCCAACCTGCATTTTCATAACAGTTATAGTTATCTGGCGTACATGATAGATAACCTTTCAACGAGCTGGTAATACCTAGTACTCGAGTACTATCTACTTCTATTCCATTGATTTCAAGTCGTATTTGTTCAAAGAGATATGAAAAACCGTTATTAGTAAGTTTTACTTCACTAGCTTCTGATATTTTACCTTCTAAAAAAATAAAACTCTCATGCAAATACGGATAAACATCTGTTTGCTGTATTGATATTCCTATTTCATCATTATTATTAAATGAAGTCGTATAAGGTGTATATGAATGATATTCAATTTTTGTAATTTTAGAATCTGTTTCAAACATCGAACTTATATCCAAAATATCGCTTTCAGGCATTCTGTTTCAATTTATAGCCTAACGCCTTTAAAATGTTTTTATTTTTCACTGTCAATTTTTTAACTTTACTTGATGTTGACGGTAACACTTTAGTCGAATGACTAGCTAGTCTAACCTGAAGTAATGGGCTTATATTAAATTTTAATCCTATGTCAAGATCCGTAACGTTTAATATGTAGTACAATATCTTTAATATTATAACAACCTTTTTTTAGCGTAATAAAACAAATTTTCAATCCATTTCGATTCTTATCTAATACTTGAATTGCAAATTTATTATTTTCCGAATTAATATTTGGAAATAAATTAAACGTTTGTAAACATAATAAAGCTATTTCAGAGTCCTCATACACGTTTAGAGGTGGAAAAAAAGTTGTAGTCAATGTAGTATCATTCCCAGTTAAACTTAGAGTGATCGATTCATTCATCTAAAAAATGAATATCAAGATCCACGACGTTTAATATGGAGAACTATAGTCAATGTTTCACAGAAATCATAAATTTGTATATTATCCTAATCAACTAATTGAATAGTTATTGAATCAATATTTGTTTTGTTCAACTTATAATATATAAGGTTTGGTGGTGATTCAATTATCTTTGTTTCTATTTCTCCTCTCGGAAAGAACTCGTAAATTTAATGAGTTTGAACGTGATTACTGAATGATCCTTGAGCAATATTACACATCACTTTTATACAGTTAATTGTGTTTAAATTCACAGCTTTTTCCAAATGATAAATATTATAATAAGATCCATAATATTTTCGGTTTCCAAACCCTAATACAGAGCCTATACTGTTTGGATCCGTAAAGTTTAGTATTCCGTTACATTTTATAACCGATCTAAAATCGATAGGATCAAGACTTATATCAAATGTTAAATCAATACGATACTCTTTATTGAAGTCTAAAATCAGTTGTTTAATTTTATTGTTAATATCTGCAATGTTATAATATCCTCTTGGAAAATTGAATGAAAAATAATAATCATAAAACTCTATGTCTATCCTATTATTTGTTGAAATTATGTTTGGAAATGAATTGGACGTTTGTAAACATAATAACAAGGCTGGGCAAGTTAACGTTTTTTTTTTAACTCGTTAAGTTAAGTTAATATAAGAAAAAGTAAGTTAAGTTAAAAGTTAGCTAATGTTTTTTATATAACTTCGTTAATTTAAAAATTAGTGAATAAAAAAATTTAACTAAATCAAAATTAACTTAATTAAATATTTAATTATTTTCAAATCTGTAAGAAAAATAGGTTACTTAATTTTGAATTTGTGTCAAGCTCAGATTTCTGTACCCATGTGACCAACCATGTAATATGCTTAGCAGTATTTACCGAGGAATTAGGGTGGGCAGTTGACAATCCATCCAACTCTCTCCCACTGTTCTACTCATTAAAGGAAAGGGGGGAGTTAAAATGATATAAATATATAAATTATACAAATTCTACTATTAGCTGCTACATGTCAATATTTGGGAAATCCGTATAAAGTATAAACACAATCAGCGTAATAAGATACAAGAGTATATGAGATACATTAACATTCATACATTAACATCGAATCAGAGTGACAGAGTTAACAAAGATGTTCAGAAATAAATTTTTCCCCATGAGTTATTTTAATAATTTCAAGTAATAACGTATTTCTTAGGATGTGTGGCGTATTCGTAAAGTGTCACTAGGTAATGAATTCTAGTTTACAACAAAACTAATTATTAATTAAGTACACAGCCGTCGCTACCCGTAGTACCTACCACCTAGAACGGCTAGAACCTATACTCACGACTATACGTCTATATAATTGTCAATTATTGAAATTTTTAAATTTTAAACTATTAATTAATAATACATGCGAGTGGGTATTAGTGGTATTTCACTAGATACAGGTTATCTATAAAATTGGAAATACCTATATGTCTGTTATATGTATATTGTGTTTGTGTACATATCAAACAACCGGTAATAATTATTAATTATTAATTATACATTTTCCTATTTATTTTATAATATGATATATATTATTATCTAATATTTCTTAAACCAATAAAATTATAAATCAATGGGTTATATCAAATTTTGAAATGTAACTTAATTTTAAAATCTCTGTACATAATTAACTTGAAGTTAACATGTTAAATATGTTAAAAATTTAACTTATGAAATTAAAAGTTAGTTTCAAAAAAAAAGTAACGAATTAGTTAACTTAGTTAATATTAACTTAACGTTTTAACTTAATTTTAATTTTTAACTCGTTAATGCCCAGCCTTGCTAATAACCATTTACACTAGTTATTGCCAATAATTTGTTCTTTAATAAATAGCCGGAATCTTAATCATAATTATTCTTCTATTTATATTGTTAACTAATTTTTAGGTATTGTCGTATTGCTATAAACAATTAACTGGTATAATATCTATAGTAGTGTATTGTGAAAATTAAAGTAAATCAATTAGGTATTGAAGAGAGAAAAATCTTTATTGAATATGTTGTGTGCCATCGTTATACAATAATTATTATAATTAAACTACTTAAATCTTAAACATAAAAAAATTGTAATTTATTAAACAAAACAACATTATTTAAGTGTAAATAGAAACACATGTTATTATAATCGTCTAATTTATTAAATTATATAATTTTTGCATTGAAACCTTCGTAATTAAAAGTGCATGATAATAAATAAAATAAATGTATAATTTAAAAATAACTCCAATGTACACTGCAAAAGTATAATATGTAGCTGAGTAGAAGATTATTCTAAAATAAAAATATAAGAAATACTTTTGATTTTTATTTCTTATGTTGTGATGAATAGATCTGTATAGTTCCGATTTTTGTTTAATATTTCAAGTACGTATATATATTTTAGTATTCATAAGTAACTATTGTAATATTACGTATCAGATTTATGTATTTTAACAAGGTAAAATAATTATTAGATCCAATTATGAATATTTAAAATACTGTTATTTTGATTTAACCATATCCATCGATGAAATATTCAATCTAAAAATATATATATATATAAATAATAATTGACTTGTTTATAGATTTGAAAAGTTTATTCTATTAATAATATAATTATGTAGAAAATGTTATATCGAAAAATGTATTTCGATTATTATTTCATAGAATAAAAGTAAGTGCATGAATTTAAAATATTTCAATTAATGTATTATACACGTGAAATAAATAAAATAAACAATATCTTATAAAAAACGACAAAAAAATATAGTTTTTAAACAAAAATAAAAATTAAGTACTGGAATATATTTCTATTGATTTTCTAAATATATAAATAAATATAAATCTGGTACAAGAAACTGGTATACTACAACCAAAAAAAAAAAAAAAGAAAATATTTTTGGTCCGGTGGGGGGGGGACGTGCCATCCAATAGCTATAGCACAGATTTCAATTGATGTACACATATAAATATGATTGTAACTTACAATTTTAGACAAGGTCTGTAAATAAACAACAAAAATATATAGTTTTAATAAAATGAAAAATAAAATATATTACTTAAATGCTTAATTCAACATGGCTATTGATTTTCTAATCAAAAGTATAAAATTATTACGCTTAGAAAGCAGTTTTAATCTAGAAAACTTATTTACTTATCTTATTTTTATATTTGTATATTGTATAATGAACTCGTTGTAGCTAACTAACCGACTGAATTTATTATTGAATTTGATTTTTGTCGGCTAATGGTCACTTTGTTTAAGGTAGTTTGTTAAAAGTCATGACGGAATGGGCCTACTGGAGGAATAGTCGAAGTATACTAAATTGATATAAGAGCGATGTAGATTTATACAAGACATATATTTGTGTAAAATAAAAGGAGAAAATATATACAAATAAATAAATATGGAGAGAATGATTCTATAAATTAGAAAAGATGTATACAGCATTATATTATTGATATAGTGGTTGACATTTTATTAATAAGATAAACACATATCATTGATATTTTGTAATATTAAGTAGATCGTATTATGCATTATATACACACAACAACAAAACTAATGAATTAAAACAACGAATATAAGACGATAACATAATTAAAATAATAACTGATAAAAAGGATTTTAAATAAAATAATTTATAATATATTTTTAAACAACATTTAAAATATAAATGCTAAAAAGTATGAGGGTAATGTAACTATTGTAAAATCATTACTATATTTATAACTATAATAATATTATGTATATTAGTAATATTAGTGGTATATATAAATTGTATAAACACAACATGTACAGTATGCTGACTAGGAAATTGTCCCCTGCTTGTCACACATTTATTATTGCACGCTTATAGCTAATCTCAATATGTAAGAGAACAACAGTTGTCTGCGATTATCATCACGCGTATATCAATATATTAAGAAATCTGAGAGCAATACGTAACCGAACGAAGTGGCCAACAAA